CTTGCTCTTGATCCTCAGTACCTGCAATGTTGATCAGTCTTCATCTGAGGACTCAAGCAACACCACTAACAATAGCAAAAAGGATTTGCGAAAGTTACAGAGTGAAAAATGTTATGGAGACAGATGTTGAACCCATGCAGAAGAAAACTAAGGGGTCAGAAGTGCATGCAGAGGAGAAAAAAGACAGTGAAGATCAAGCTGAAACAACTAGGTTCTTAAGAGTAGTAAGAAAGAATCTTCTTACCTTCTTAAGAACCCTCCTTTTTATTTAGTCTGGATGAAAAGGAAAGGGAGAGAAGAGAGAAAGCTGGCTTAGAAGTGCCATAAAATCTCCTCACCGAGAAAAAACTCATCAGGCAAAGAATGCATAGCAAGTAAGTCTCTAGTGAAACACACAATTTCCTTCTACATGGGTTGGATTGACACACTTTACCCTATTACAGGGTTTGAATGGAGTCCACATGCATGATAATATTAGAGGAGCTGTGTTATTTTTTATTTGCCAGGTACACATTGGATGGCCAAAAAAAAGAATGTTCCCAACTTTTCATAATTTAGATGAAACAATACAGTAGTCTTGCTGGAGCCAATCCCTCAATGTAGGGCTTGACAGCGTCTTGGCTCGGGGGAGGCCGTACGTGTTCCAGCAAGACTCAGCTCCCTCTCACACAGCCTGCACGACTCAGGAGTGGCTGGCCGAAAATTTTCACGATCATGTTACTCCTAACATTTGGCCTCCTAGCTCTCCTGATTTAAACCCCCTGGACTACTACGTCTGAGGCGTCTTTGAGAGGGAGACCAACAAGCATGCCCATAATACCAAGGACTCGTTGAAGGCTGCCATCGGGGACGTTATGGCAAACATAAATAAGGATCACCTGATCAACGCATGTAGTCGTTTCAGAAGCCGCATCGAGGCCTTAATCAAGGCTGAAGGTGGTTTTATTGAATAGCCTTTTGCTTTGTGTATGTAAGAACATGTGTACCAAATTCTATGAAAATATATTGGTTTTTCTACTGAATATTTTTGTTTTCCTCAAAGTCAAATTTTGTTCTCAAATAGCTGACGCACCCTGATATGGTTGAAACTTCTATTCCCATGAGTGGTTAACTGCAGTCCCCCTACAAACCCCACATAAGGAAGCAGGTGATTAGAAATATTGAGATTTTTGGTTTTGCAAAAAGATGAAACCTAATGCCTGTACCAGCCAAACCCAAAAAGTGTTGAAAAAATCCTGCTTAGAACAGACTCCCCTTTCTAATAAAGTGATGTGATCATCCCCTGCCTCTTCATAATAATGGGTCCTACTTTATACTGCAAATCATCTATTTTAATCCTAGATTTAAAAACAATTTCAGGCATAGCAACTGAACCTTGGAGTCAGAAACATTAAGGTTTGTTATTCCAGAAAAGTATCTGCTGGAGTACTGTATCTAGGTGTCAATGGTTATCTAACCTGTTAACCAACTGATCTTTGATAACCTGTTCTGATTAAAAGCCACAATATTTCCCCTTCTCCAGTCTCCTACTGATAAAAAAAACTGAATTTGTGTTCCTTCCTGGTCTACACCTTTCTGTGAATAAATTTTTCCCTTATTGAAACAATTCTTGGAGCTTCAGTTAACTGACAGGTAACTGGCTAATGTTCATCAGTTATGAATTGAAATCAATAAATGAAACGAATGGAAATTAAGATCCCTAATTGTAGCAACTCCAGTGAAGTCATGCTGTGCTCAAGCTTGGCAGAAAACACTTTACCAGAGCTGGTTAGTTACATGGCAGTAAGGCTTTCATCCATGAAAAATCAGAAAAGGTCTACTGCAATAATTTTGTTTCTTTCTTTAAAAAATTTTAAATTATGAATACAAACCCTTTTGCTCAAAAACCTAAAAATATGGCTCATCACAGCATAGTCATCCAGCATGAAAAAGGGTGCATTAAAATAAATGCTGCTTGCCAGCTTACACAGGCATACATTTCCAGTGCAGAAAAGAAAGACATGAAGAATCAATACTTACCAGAAGCAAGAGATGATAATGAACCAGCTGTACTACCACCTCCTTCATATGCATAGTTGCGGAGGTCATCATAAGGTGGGGCATTGGGATCATTGTCTGCTTTCCCCTTGAGATCATTGATGAAGATCCCAACATCTGGATGACCTCCTCCACCCATGTCTGCAAAGACAATGAAATGAAAATTCCAGTCTTTCATGGGTTCAGAGGTGAAAAGGAAGGGAAAGCAAACTTACATGGAGGCCTATGCCGCAAGCCCCCTGCCTGCGGAGGCATTTTTCCTGGACCTGCACCATCAACAGGAATTTGGAGTGGCGTAATGTCAAATGCTGTCATATCATCTTCTCCCCCTCCTTCATCATCATAGTTGATGATGTTCTCTCGGACATCATCATCAGGGCCTGGATATTTGATGGCTGATTCTCTCCTCCGATGGTACACGACAAACACCAATACCAGCACTGGAAAAGCATCCCAAAAGGTGTGTTTAATAGATGCACCCAATTAATGGCCAACATTTCAAAACAGAAGCTGCAAGTACAAAAATACCTTCTCACAATAGGAATACCTGAGTACCATACTCTCTGACCAATAAAACTCAGCTACCTTTATTCATGTCTGACACAACAAACCAATTTAACATATGAATGGAAATATTATTATAATGAAGCAGGGCTGTCAATCGATTAAAGAACTTATTCGATTAATTGTGAGCCATTTAATCAATTCATTGAATTTTAATTGATACCCCAGTTCCTTGTTGAATGTGGCAAATGGAAGGCAGTGTTGATAAATAAAGAAAGTCAATTAAACAATAAATGTAAGAAAAGTAGCACACTAAGGCCCTTTGTCACTTAGGCAATCCATACCAGGAGGATGCAACAATCTAATCCAAATGACTTGAGGTCTACAGTGACACTTCATTATGTGGAGATGTGAAGATTCACTATGGATTTTATGGGCAACACAGGATGGAAGAGTAGAAAAGGCAGGGAGTAGTAGAGGGTTTGACACTTGTTTCCTCTTTTCTCACCTGTCTCCAGCTATTCCCTGTTACCACTACTTCCATGGGGCTCTCACTCCTGCCCTTACATTATATTCTTTCCTACCGCTCCTGCCATGTGACCTTTGCCCAAATCCTCTTTTCCTTCTGCATGTTCCCTTGCAGTTTCTTCATTCTGACTTCCCTTTCCATTTCCTTCTGAAGCTTATTTTTGGAATATTTTGAAAGTGATGGCTTTGCTTTTGTGTTTCCTTTTACCAAAAATAGTAGGTCCTTTTTGCTGAAGAGTGTGCAGTGCAAAATAACTAACTTCTTCAAACCATCATTACCTTTGACAAAGCACATTTGTTTTTGGTTTTTGTGCAAGATTATGCACTGCACAGTGAAATTTTATAATTAAAAAATGAGGCTCAGGGTGATTAACATTGGATTTATTTTGACTATTTAAAAATAATTGATTAAAACTTTAATAGACTACTTAGTCTATTAATCTAATCGAATTGACAGCCCGATAATGAAGTCATGAGAAAAGCTTGATGTTGGGTTTCATAGGGAAGGATACTGCCATTGTCAACAACAGGATCTGGATACTTTCTAGCATTATTTCCACACCATTACCATGACACATTTTACAAGAGCATTCAGGGATACAACTTGGGAGATCATTCTAATGAAGTCATCATAGCTCAATTTCTGATTCCAAGAGGGAGTATCTGATAGGAGAAATGAAATTTCAACCACTTACGGCACAATGCTACAAGGAGGCAGCCGCCAAGAGCAGCATACATGCTCACAGAAGGCTTCAAAACAGCACCCAGTGCCTCAAGATCACAGTATTTACCAACAAATCCAGGTGGGCAGATACAAGTGAATCCTGGGCTCTCATGAATATTCTCACACACTCCATCATTGAGGCAAACATTTCCCTCACTACAGTCAGTGATAGGAACACAGGTTTGTCCGTGTGGCTCTTTCACGGTGATTCGGAATCCTCGTGGGCAACTGAGGGAACAGAGGGAACATACACAAATGGAGACTCACCAAGAATTATGAGAAGGCAGACGAGAATGGCAGCCAAGGCACCCGTTCCCAAGCGCAAGACCTGGCCTTCCTGAAGCAAGTTACAGATGTTTCCAGTGTAGCCATTCTTACAATCACACTTGAAACCGTCGTCAGTGTCAATGCAAGTGCCACCATTGAGGCAAGGCTGTTGCAGGCATTCATTTATTTCCATACAGGTTGTCCCATCAGGAGATTCCTTTTTTCCCTTAGGACAGCTGATGCAGCATTAAGAGGAAGAAGAGAGAGAAAGAAAGAAATGGAAGGTGTGCTAGATGAAAAGAATGGCATGCACAAGCATTCAAGACTCCCTGCTGCCAAAAATTTCAATTAAATATTAGTCACTCCAAAACATGGTAGGTATCATTCACAGGACAATTAGGATCAGAAAGAGAACAGGATGCAGTGAAGAAGTAAATAACAGGGTGAGTTGATGACAAGATAACAAGCATGTGAATAAATGAGGTTGCAAAACTTTAGCATAAATTGCTTTCATGGCTCACCATGAACAATGAGTATGGTATTAGTAACTGTGAGTAGATGATATAGGACAGATTTTACAATGTAGGGGGAAAATGTGGAAAAGTGACCCTATGTTTATCAGTCTCAGATAAACTTTAGGTATTTGTACATCCCAGCAACGAGCACTTGGCACCTTATACTTCCTGTAGTGCTGAGAAAAGCACGAGTCTAATATTTTTAGTACTCACCAAAGCCTTAAACCGATTGCTGATCATTCAAATAGAAAATCTGCTAAGGAATAAGCATGGATGACAGAGAGGTTTGAAACTCACGCGCATACATGGTGCATCCACAGATCATGACACTCAAAAGGAGGAGTACATTGATGCTTCTTGCAGGGATTAGGTGCTTCGCAACCAATTTCCAAATGTCGATATAAAGTGGCTTGACCTCCATGTGTTCCATTCAAGGCAGGAGGTAGAGGCATGAGCCTCCCTTCAAATCTAATGTCATCCAAACACCCTTTCTTGTAGTCAGCTATGACCTGGAAGGTCCGCATGCCAGTGTAATCAGGCCGTCCACCAGCATATGTGCCATCCTGCTTGGTGACCACTAAAAGCTGGTGACCGGTGAATTCAAAGCTTTCATTGTAATATACACCTTCACCTCCATCCAGCTGAAAAATCATACATTTTTTTTAATTTTCATCTTTTGATTTGCAACTTCATTCCAACAAAGGATGGTTGCACAGGATCTGACCTGGAGGACAGCAGCAGAACCATATCTGGAGACTTTGGCCACATGCCACTGACCATCAGACACAACAACTTTGCTCAGCCATAAAATCTTTTCTTCTGTACGCAGGGAATTCAGATTATACCTGAATCTCAACCTCCTATCCTTGATCTGATAAGAAGAGACACAATTCCATGATGAATAAACTTTCCACTTACATGATACTGGCTAGCTCTTCCTTTACAAACAAGCTATTGATATATTGAACATACCACTGATAACAGCTTCCTAACTCACCTCCAGAACAACAAACTCTCGATTGTGTTGATCGGCTGCTCTGAACATTTCACCATGGTGCTCCCTGGTCCGGAAGCGGAGCTGGATCTCAGTGACAAAGGCATTTGGTGGGAAGGAGAGGGCATACTTCACACAACTTTCTGGATGGAACATGACAGGTGTTGTGGGTGTATCACATCTGGGACCAGTCCATCCTGGTTTACACTCGCAGTGTGTGTCATAACGAGAGCCTTCACAAACTCCATGTGGTCCGCATAATGGTTCAATTTCATTGCCTTTGCAAGATCCTTCAAATGGAAGGCATCCAGCATCATTGTTCCTCCACAAACCAGGTAAGGCCAAGTCATACACCTGCACAAAGATACCCACATCATGACACTCATGCAGATATACTGAGTGTAGCAAAAAAACAAAACACATCCTGTTTGGTGCTTGTCTTTTGTGTTTATGCCTTTTAGTGTAAAAATATTAAGGGTGGATTTTTGAACAAAGAACTATTCAATAATGCAGCTTTATTCCAGGGAAAATTTTTTGCAAGATATTTCCTGGGAATAAAGCAGCGTTATTAGATAGTTCTCTGTTCAAATATCCACCCTTGGTTTTTATTGAAGTATTTTACACTACAGAGAAAATACACTCAAGTCACAGTCCCAAAAGTTTGAAGTTTCTTGCTTGTTTGCATGAAAAGCTCCAATCCTCAATCATTCAAAACTTCTTTAGTATTAGGCTATAGCAGTTTCATGGCTATATCAATGCTTCATAGATGCTCCTCGTTTGGAACCAGTAGATCTGTTTTTATGGCTGTATCCTTCATGTAGTGCTTTGACTAGTAGTGTCACCATTTCACAGCTGAAAATAGAAAACCTAGCTGCAATAAATGTGAGCTTTTAAAAGACACACAGTCCATGGTTTGTTTGGAAACTCATCATTCATCTGCTTTCCTTCACCAGCTCTTCTCTTGCCAGAGTGCCATATCATCATGCTGAAGTGGAATGATGAAAGTGAAAACTACACAGAGGAAACAGCTTTAAAAAAGGCATTTCCACAAAAATTAAACACACCTGTGGGAGCATTGTTGAAACCAGTGCAGCACAAAATGTGAAAAACCTGGATTTCTATCTAAACTATAGTATAAGCAATTATTCCTTGTCATTAAATACCGTATTTACTCCAGTATAGTGCGCCACCATGTATAAGACACACCCCCGCTTTTGAGGTCCCAATTTGTGTATAAAAAAAAGATTCCCCGCGTATAAGGCGACCCCCCTATTTTGTAGTGAAAAGTGTTGGACAAGGGCGATGAATAAGGGGTAAAGCCAGTCTTGCGGTAGGTCGAACCTTGTTTCTTATTCACTGTCCTGACCTTTATTGAGGGGGGGCACAGTATCCCTAACATTTGTTTTATTATCCGTGAAAATGGATGGAAATATACGGCGAAATAACACAGCTGCAGAGAAATCCATGTGATTCAGGAAGCGAAGGAGTTGGGCATCCGTGCAATAGGTCATAACTATGACATCGAGGAAAGTTGTATACAGAAGCGGATGGAGGCGAAGGCGAAATTAAGCCTGGCTGTAAAGAATCTCATGGCCTTTCGTGGGGAAAAAGGAATCATTTCCGGTAATCAAGAAGGGAGTGACCGAGAGTGATGGAGACGCAAACCCATATGATTTCGAGAGCAAACGGGATCTCCCATAGAAAATTCAATGCATCATGAGGTTGAATGATGCGATTCATAAGCAAGTTGGATTTTCTGTTTGTCGGAAAACGTCAGCAGCTTTCCGTGAGAAATTATTGTCTCTGGAATGGCCCCTCAGAGGATGTGAGCTCCGCAAATCAATTTTCCACGCTGCCAGACACCTCAGATTCCGATTCCGATACCGAATGAAGTCCGCGAATCGACGTAGCCACTCCCTGTTTACTGTTTTATAATTATTATATTTCTCCTGTTCTGACTGACTGCAGACAGTTTCTGCCTCAAATTAGTGACCAATGAGTTATAGGTACACTGAAATATTTTTTTCTTGAAAAAGAGAATTTTTTTCCTCGAGTATAAGACGCACCCCCTCATCGAACACAATAAAATATGCAACAAAAAAAAGCGCCTTATACGCAAGTAAATATGGTAGCTTAAGAGATTTCAAGCTTTCAGGAAATAAATTTTAGTCCATTTTTTTGTGGATAAAATACAACCATAGCACTTCTAAAGTGGGTGTTGTGAAGTATCAAACAGGATGCATTTTCTTTTAGGTGCTACCCAATATATTTATGCTGAGGTACAAATCCCAGAGATGAGTGGAAAGTGTTTGTCTCACATACCTCACTATTATGTATAAGATTTCTGATGCATCCCCTGAAGGATTTTTCTGTCTTGGGGACATACTTCCAATTAAACAAGGTAGGATCCAAAGGTTCATGTGCCACACCACCCAGTTGCAATGGTGTGTTGACATTCAAATATTCATTGAATCGAGGAATAGTCCCCTTGGCTTGACAATTGTGATCATAAAATATGGGAACTGTTCCATTCTCAGATTCAGTCACTTCTGCAGTCCTGCAGTAATCTACCACCATCCTCACATTCTGTGAACAAAACAAATGAAGGACAGCATTGAGAGTATATCCACAATAAGTTGCACTGGGAAATTTAACAATATTATTGATCCAGAGAACATGAAATCCATATATTTCTCTTACCTCTGTATCCCAAAAGATATCAATGCGATGCCAAAAGCCATCATCTAAACCATCACGGGTATTCACCTTCAACTCCAAGGTCCCAGAACCAAAATCAATAAGCAATCGAGGGTGTCCACCATCAAGCTCCAGAGATATGAAATCAGAGATAAGGATTTCCTCTGGATCAGGAGCAGTAATGGGTCCATTGTAAAGGATTAGCCCCTCAGCATTGTCAGCAAGAAATTCCACACTCAGATGAGATTCAGAACACAGCTTCAAGGGAGGGAACCATGCCCAACCACCACCATAGAAACTTCTACTCAGCTTTTGGCACCTGGGCCCATCATACCCTTCTCGACACTCGCATCTAGAGGTGAAAGAGATATAAACTGGTGAGTAAGATGTTCCTCAAGCAAGAAACAAAAGCAGCCTTGGGAAGTAGAGGTACTCACTCAATGGTCCCATAAAGACTTTCTGTGCAGCGGCCTCCATTCAGGCAAGGATTTGGTCGACAGCTCTTTGGGATAGTGTAGTTCCGTGCTCCACATTCACAGACAGCCTCAACATCAGTGCGAACACCTACCAATGCTGTCCTATTAGCATTCACCATATATGGGTTTGGAGAGATTACAAGTCGATTCGTGCAAGATCCCTCGCACTTGGCCATCTCATGTAAGCATTCATCAATGCCAACCATGGTGATGTTTATTCCCACTTCTTCCTCAATCTACAAAATCCAAGGCAAAGGTTTTTCAGAATGCCAACAGATTGAAACACATTTCTAAGATACGTTGATCATTACCTTGTCTCTATTCTGGAGTACAAGACCATTGAGCATTGTGGGGGAATAGTAAGGGGAACCATGAGCTGAGAACCGTATATCTGTGATAGGAGGCCTCTCTTGTTTCAGTTGAACACTGAAAACATCTATGTTTGTCACTGAGGTCTCAATCAACTTGGCCACTTCCTTCCTGAAGAGCTCCAGTTTGCTTGGCATGACCTGTTGGGTCTACATGACACAAAGAAGAGGTAGGTAGCAATTGGGATCTACTAAGTCCTCTAAGATACATAATAGGGAGGCACAGGTACTTCCAATACTGAAATGTCAAGGAAATGGAAGTTGGTCTCAGCTTACCTTGTAATCCCAGATTCGGATGAAGTCCTCGTCTGAAATTCCATCAATCCGAAGTGAACCACTTTTGAGGACAGCTTCCTCAGGAATCTCTTGTACAATGACTGTTACATTTGCTGGGACATTTGTCTGTGTGTGCTTCCGGTCATACACCAAAAAGTGTAGTTCATACCTACAGTGACAGGTAAAAATATAGATGTTGAGATTTTTGGAACAAATAATAGCATGGATTAAATTTAGAAGCCTTGAGAAGCTGGTGGATCCTGGTAAACATGATGCATTTATTATTTTCACACCACTCACTTTCCATTCGGTGTGCCTTTCCTGAGAGTGATCATTCCAGTTTCTTCATCTAGGAGGAAGTATTCATTTTCATGGTCATCAGCCCAATAGAATTTCTTGTCTGGGAGGTCCCAATCATCCAAATCGAATACATACACTCTGCCAATATCTGTTTGTGGGATGTCTCCCTATAAAGACATGAATTTCTGTTAAGAATCATACAATACTGAGATGGACAGCAACATGGCATGCAAAATCAAACAAATGAATAAATGATGGAGTTTGGAGACAACATACTTTGTAGTTGTACACAAGGATCTCCTTTGCACCTGGGAGCATTCGATTGTCATTAACATCTCCAATGATAACAGTTAAAGTTGATGTGCCTGTTTGTGGTGTCTCTCCATCATCTGTAATGACTATGGGGACATAATACTCCTTCTGTAGCTCACGATCAAAGGATCTCAATGAATGTACAATGGCCATCCCATCTCCATTGGCTCCACCTGTGATATGAATGTGATTATTTGATCCATTTTGAACTGTACTGTTTGACATCTGGGATTCAGTGGCACTAGTGGCAATATTTTTGGCCGACTATTTGAAAATAATGTCTGATGGGTAATGGATAATGAACTAAGCTTATGACCAGTACTTTAGTTGCTTTAAAGTTCCATGAAGTTTAGTCCCTTTTTTTAAGTACTAACAATTTAAAACTGAAGTAGTGCATTGGGAAATGAGTAAAAAAAAATAATCAGCCAGCAATGATAACGAACCTAATTTAAAAAATTACTGAGATTCCACAAGGGCATTTTTGTCTCTTGAAAAATATGTTGACCTTGAAATCCCAACTCAATAGATAGGGCAAGTATTTTACTCATTGAATCCAATAAAAATTATCACCTGGGACCCATTTTTCAATTATAAAATAAGAAACAGAGTAAGAAGCAAGTAGCTTGGTCCTTGATCATCAAGAAAAATAATCACAAATTCACAAATGCACAAATAGTGGAATCCCTGCATCTTCTGCATCTAAAATTCCAAGTCCTTTTTAACCTGTCACTACCAGAAAATGGATACTTTACCATGAAATTTCAAGATCTCAGGGACCAATGATAGGTTTATTCCATGGGCCAATAAATGGCTTATTCAATTAAAAAAATACATCTAGCTTTCAACACATGTAACACTGAATGAAAATGTATGCCACTAGTTCCAGTCTGTACCTTTTATCTAGGCCTATTGTGCAAGCTGCAACTCACGAGGCAGATGTTCAATTCGAAATGATTCTTTGATTTCATCATCAGCTTTCCTGTGATCTAGGCTGAACGAAAACGGAGGGCCATTCGACTTGGATCTATCATCATCATCAGTGGCCAAAATCTCTATCACTTTCCTGGGCAATGAATTCTCAGGAACAACTGGTCTGTAATCCTGAACAGGAAATAAAAAGAGGTACATAAAAAAAAAACAAAGTATGACACTGAAAGTCTGACAGCACAATTCGATTGGTCTTGCCTTCAGGAACCGAGGAGCATTATCATTGATATCTTGAACAATGACTGTAAGGGTTGCAGTGGCAGTCTTTGGAGGGTCTCCATCATCAATGGCCAGAATTTTGAGCTGATGGCGGGGAGTATCTTCTCTATCCAAGCTTCTCTGAATAGTGACAGTCCCATCATTATTGATAGCAAACTGCCTTCTTCTGTCTGAGCTACGATCAATGGCATAGGACACTTTTGATCGGCCACCACGATCAGGATCTGTTGCTTGGAATGTCTGTAAGCTCTTCCCAATCTCAGCATTCTCATAAACAGAGACTTCAATGTTTGGTTTCTCAAAGACAGGTGTGTTGTCATTGATATCTCGGAGTGTGACATTCACCCATGAATATGCAACATGGTATCGATCCACATCATTGTCTTCTCCCTTGTCATTGACCTGAATCTGGAAACGGAATCCACCACGCTGGTACTGATCTTCGTAGTCCAAGCGTTGAACCACTTTTAGGGATCCAGTGCCATCTGAATTTCTAACCATCGTGAACTTATCAGCACCATATCCTGATTTCTCAATGACCTAGATGCAAAAGCAGGGTGAATATATGAATACAGGGATGTCAGCAGGAAGCTCTAGAAGTACTTGAAAAGATGGCTTACCTTATAATGAAACTTGTTGGTCTCATCTTCATCCAAAACTGTGACAGTCAGGATAGGAACATCAGGAAGGATGTTCCCCTCAGTTTCATCCACTTCAGCATACCATTCTTCTTTGCTAAAGGTTGGTGGCATGTCATTGATATCCTTCACTCTGATCAATGCTGTTCCTGTTCCTGTAGTCACAAAGAGTCAGATAGCATTTTCTCCCTTTGTCCAGCAGTGAAAAGGGCAAGAGGTAAAGGATGCAGGGGCAAACCTTTTAATTGGCCTCCATCCTCTGCTACAACTTGTATAGTATACTCAGGAGTCTTCTCCCGGTCCAAGCAGCAAACATTTGTAGTGATTACTCCAGTTTCTGGATCAATTTTGAATATAGGCTTCCCTGTTTTCTCATCATCAATGACATTTTTATCAATAGAGTAAGTTAGTTTGGCATTTGTTCCCTCATTTGGATCATCATAATCCTCAGCAGTCATTGTCATCACTACCATATCTGTGGAACAAATTGGGAAAGGAGATGTTAAAATGCAAGACTTCATTTCAGGATCATGTCACTGGAAGTGAAAGAAGTATGGACAGCAAAGGGTCTAACCTTCTGTGCCATTTTCAGTGACATTGCCAATTTTGACAGCAGGGAAGAAAAATGGCTCATTGTCATTGATGTCCTTTAAATTGATTTGCACATCTGCATACCCAACAAGACCTTCTCCACCTTCATCCATTGCAAAGACTGTGAACCTCCACTGAGGGCGACCATGTGGTTGATCTCGATCCAGTTCCTAAATATTAAAGTACAAATCCTGGGTATATTGTATACCTTAAAATTCATTATGTATATTTCAGGGTTTTCTGCAAAATTTCCAGGAGCAGATTTCTCAATTCTTGAAAAGGCAAAGTTGAGGAGACACTGTACAAGCAGAAAAAAAAAAACCAAGGGACTGTGTGCAAAAGGAAGGGGAAAGCAAGTCATTGTGACCTGCATGCACAGTCCATGAAATCATACACCATGACCATATAGTCATATACTGCTGCAACAAAAATCCAGACCTCAGCTGTTGATAAACAAGATTTGAATCTTGGTGAATATTCATTTCAGGTCAATGAGTTTTTGAGAAGAAAAAAAAAGCACCTTTACAGTTTTATTTCCAGAAGTTAGCAAGATGTTCAAACACACAAAAATTACAGGAGCTTGAAAAACCCCATCATTAGCTTAAAAGGCAACAGTTCTGAGGGAAGAAGTTAGAAGTGGCTAATATTCTTTTCAATATTCTGAGTCATTACTCAGATTTTCAGCTTTCTCACTAAAAAGATTTTCTTCCCTGAACTATCCACTCAACTTGGCTGCCTTGGTCAATGAACTTCTGCCTTCTCCTGGGGGTTTCTTAAATTGTCACACCCAGCATATCAAGAGTAATTCACAAAATATGATCTCAAGTTCTTGCAGATATCTTGGCATTTGGCATTGGCTTTGTGGAATATTAATTTGATTTAACGTGGTCTCAAAAAAAGAAACAAATCCAGTGACCTTTGAGCCCATTCCATCGAGCTACCCAATTGACTAATCCATAAGCCTGGAAAAGCCTCATTGAGTCATTCCCTCACTTCATGAGCATAGATAGTGAACAGGAGCCATATTTTGCTCACTGGCTCATGAAGCTTTAACCTCCTCAGTTTTGGTAAAACCCATTCCTTGAGCATGTGAAGGTGATTCACTCCTGTGACTGCTTGTTTATGATAACTACTGAAAAATAAATAAAATGAAGGTCCACCCATATGGAAAGATCATATATGGTAGATATATGCAATTTTCTGTGCCTTATAATTCCATAGATTTATCATGTCTTGAAATATGCATGCACATGTATGCAGGCAGATATGGATGGAGCATATGATCCATGTAAGGATTATTCATATATTAAACATACCAGGGCAGCATATATGTTCTGTATAAAAGAATTATACAATTTGAGGGATGGACTCCTGCATATATGATACTTCATGAAATATAAAAATTAAGCTCAATTTAAGAGTATTAGCCTAGTTTTGGAAGTCTAAAAGTTGTTTGTAACTTCATGGACACTAATTAGGCTTACCTCGAGTCCTTTATGATGAAAATGTGAGTTTGGCAGTTTGACTGTTTCATGGCTATTCTTTATGTAGAGAGAAAGTGCTTTTTTTTACTCACCTTTAACACATATATTTCTCCTGATGTTCGATTGATGTCAAACTTGTTGTTTGCAGGATTATTTGCATCAATTCCTTGTCCAGTGAGAAAGTAGACAATGTTTTGTGGCCTGTCTCTGTCTCCATCAGTTGCAGTGACCTACATATTAGCCATCAAAATTAGAATTAGTCAACACTTCTAAATAAGTCAACACATCTCAGGTATCCTGCCATTATGAAAAATTTATGGTAAGAGATTTGAGTAATAACTGGACATTATGTCATACTCTGAGAGTAGAAGAAAGTGCTTCCTGAATTAAGAGTAAGATTTGGTGAAAATTTCCCCAGCAAAACTAGAAGCATGTGGCAATTACTTCCAAATGGGTTTCACCAGTATGGAGGAAGACAGCAGAAAGAAATTCATGAATTTAAAAAAATAATTAATTGAGGAATGTGTCCTTGGACATCACCTAACCACATTCATGATGCAACAGAAAAGTGAGGCTTTTAATTTTAATCCATTAAAGGTGCATTTCTGCTGGCCACTAGGTATAGATATGTAGAACCTTGTATAGGTGCTAGATATATTTTTTTACAGCACAGTGGTATAGCAAGATGTCATCATCGCATATATATCAGACATATCAGCTATAAAATTATTACTCTAGGGCTGTACCAATTATGACTGTTGACAGAACACTTTTCTCAGGTTTCCTAATTAATGACAGGTGAAATGTTCCTTGAATGTAAATTTCACTGTCCCACCCAAGATTTTATGCTCTCAGGCTTAGCATAGGAAGTGGTCATAGTAGACAATAGCTCTTGGTAAGACAGGCAAGTGCTCATGCTAGGCCTCTGATGGGCACCTCCTGAATTTTTATCAATAAGAGTGGTATAGGCTACAAAAATGCACCTCAATACAACTAGGGATCAATCCCTATTCCTATTACTGTATGAAAATATAATTATCATACTGTTACACATCTCCATTCCTTAACTGAAATTTTCAGAAAACCACTTTCTTCCTGCCTCATTTTAATGTCATGTGCCAAGAAAAAATTTTTTTTTTCAATTCCATAATAAAAAAGTGTCCATCACCATGGGTTAACTGAGAGATGTAAGGCCTACCTTTGTGGGCATGCCTTACAAAACTGCAAAAGTGTACACAGTACCTGATCAATGCAATCTATTTTAAGAAACAAAGGACACTTGTTTCACCACTCCAACAGAAGTACATCTGGTATGCCTACTCAACATAGTCAAGACATGCAACTGCATTAATGCTATTCCCAAGCATACAGAAATTTCAGTATTTTTCATGCAAATCATGAGGGTAATGATGGCCACTGCTGCATGCTGCTTACCGGCATAGTTCTCCAGGCAAGTCAGTCTAAGATATCTTCATGGGATTATTGTGATATGTTACCATATGTTAGATAAGGCTCTTCAAACACCAGTATCCACAACATGTTATGGATAAAGGATTAGGCTCTTTAAAAAAAAGTTACAATCTGCTTAAGAAGTTTCTTGTGGTCATTTTACCTGAAGAAGACGGTGTGGAAGAGGATCTGAATACTCTTCCTCCATTGTTGCTGAATAAGCTGGTTGATCAAATGTGGGCGGCAAATCATTGACATCTTTCACGTGAATGATGACACGTGTCTCATTTTCATTCAGGGAATCAGATGCCACCAGCGTCAACTCATACTTAAGGAAAGAACAAAATGAACAAATAAGGAAGAACACATAAAGCAGTAAACAATAAATCCAAAATTCACATGCCAAGTGCTTTTCCTTTGACCATGAATGACATATAAACCTAATAACAGTGAGCACAGATGCAGAGGGAAGAAAAAAGATGAAGGAAGACACACGAGCAAGAACATGGTTTATAGAACACCAGGCAAGCAGGGATGGGATCCATGATTTTGGACACAGCACCTGAAGGACTTTCTTGGGCAGATCAGTTCCACTTTCTTCAGTGATTTGTGTTTTGTAGAGTGGGCGATCAAAGATTGGAGGGTTATCATTGACATCCTTGACGTTGATTACAACAGTTGTGAAGTTCTCATTCAAGTTGTCAGAAGCAACCAGGCGCAGCTCATACTATGAGAAGCATGAATGAAGCATAGATGGGGAAGATTGGGAAAGAGAAAGAAGAGTAGATGAAATCCAGCAAACTGTAATGTCTTGTCTCAGAAGTCAGTTGATTATTCTAAGTCACTAGATGGAAAGTCGATCAAAGGAAACCAATCAAAATGAGCTAGTAATGAAGGAGAATACTATTCAAAAAGCCAATTATGTGAGGGGGGAACCAAGAGAAAATAATTCCCAAGTGAGAATATAAGGAAAATAGCATAGCTTAAATCACGACAGATCAGAGCTAACAATATACAGGATGGCCCAAAAAAAACTGGACCAATTTTGATCGGCAATAACTTTTAAACAAATGAACCTTTTTCATGTTCAAAATGGGAATTGAAAGGTCTATTAATCCTCTTTCCATCGCCATATCATTTATCAAAATTTCTTCAACGGAATCGGAGCAATTGCAAATTAAGTACAAGCACCAAAAAAAGTGGATGAACAAGGCTGGCTTCTTGTTAAAACCCTCTCTGTATGCAGCATCCTTTGGCATCCTACAGCGATTTTCTGTAGCATGCTTACAACTGCTGTGTCTTTCAAATTTCATCCTACAAAAGTGCATTTTAAAAAGTTCATTCCAATTATTTTCATGGTTGCTATTCAAACGATTATTGATTCAAAACCGGTTTTGCGAGCGTGCTGCCGTTGCCTCGCTGGTCACTTATCAATTGCTCTTATACTGAATTCTAGCAGTCAGACATGTTTTTCTTCAGTGTAATGTAGTGTTTTTTCTTCGTTTGAACTTGAATTATTCTCTTTGATCTTCAAGTTTAAATTTTATTCTCAAAAATGTGATTTTAGATTTTTGCACCCTTCAAAATGGTCTTGAGCGAGAGTGACAAGTGACAAGATTACCATGCTGCCTCAGGAAAAGAATTACTCACTGAATCAAATTCTCGCTGAGTATCTAGATCACCAATGGAAACAAAAAACAGTTGCAGATTTCTTGAAAAAACTTCAAGAATATGGAAGTGGAAAACGTTGTCCGGGCAGTGGGCGTCCAAAAAGGCAAACCAGGAACCAGTTCAAGTGTGTGGTGTATTTAAAAAGAAACAGGCATCCGGTTTTGAATCAATAATCATTTGAAGAGCAACCATGAAAATGACTGGAATGGACTTTTATAAATGCACTTTCATGAGATGAAATTTGAAAGACACGGCAGTTGTAAGCATGCTACGGAAAATCGCTGTAGGATGCCAAAGGATGCTGCATACAGAGAGGGTTAACAAAAGCAAGCCTTGTTCATCCACTTTTTTGGGTGCTAGTACTTCAATTGCAATTGCTCCGGTTCTGTTGAAATGATATGGCTATGGAAAGAGGATTAATAGACCTTTCAATTCCCGTTTTGAACATGAAAAAGGTTCATTTGTTCAAAAGTTATTGCCGATCAAAAATTGGTGCTTTTTTTTTGGGGCCACCCTGTATATAGTGAAGACATGAATAGGAAATACAAATGAAAGAAAAGAATTGAAAGGATAGCAGAGGATAAAGAGGGAAAAATGTTAAAAAAGGATAGGACAATTTAAAAACCAAATAATTGATACATGGTTTGGTCCATACTTGATCTCCCTCTCAAAGAATATTTGACAATATTTCGTTTCATATCTGCTGTTGATATGAATCTTGCAATCCAGTTGATTGGCATGGTACATGCCTACACTTTTATATAAAATGTCTAATTTCTTTAAAGTTCAATGTCATCTCAAACAAAGTTGACTCCCCAGTTTTAAACTCATAATCAAATGCACTCTTACAAGGGGTTTTTATCATTTCTGGTGAGATCCATGTGTTGAGACTCTTAATGTATAATGGAAGACACAAAATCTATCTTTTCATCTTACATAGGAATATCTCATTAGAGAGAGGGGGGACAGGGACAGCGAGGAAGAACATTGTACAGCTTTCAGCTTTCCATGCTTTTCTTCTCTGGAAGGGAGTTTATTGAAAAGTGACATTGGATCCTGGCAACAACAGAGATCATTTGGATCCTGTATACTTGTTATAACTAGGGCTGTCATGAAAGAAAATTTTGAAACCAATGATGCATCAATCTGGACCATTTGTAGCAGGCCAGAATGAAGCACTGGAAACAAATAGAAGTTTCACTAACAAACTGTGAGAGTTACAGATATGCCTAAGACAAGAATTTTGTGTATGGGGTAGAAACCAGCACAGTAACACCTACATTATGCATTATGATCCCATGTAGGGATGAACCAATAGTTTTCTGGCTCTATGTCATCCCACTATCACTTCTGCACCTTTGCTTAAATTTTTATCAGCCAGGAAGCCAGAGATGGGGATTCCAAAAAACCTACAGATCTCCTCCCACCTATGCCTTTGTTGCTGGCCATCAATGGGTCATGACAGCCCTTGTAGCAACATGGTTTTTCTACATCTTAAATTTACTAAAGTGGATTGAGAGATGTTTTTCTTATGCCCTCCATGCCCCCCATCCATGATATCGAATATCAGTGATATTACTTATATTTAATATCACAATTCTATTTTTGTTAGTGTCGCACAGCCCAACAAGCTACCACCATAAAGGTTGCTTAGCAGCTAATTTTTAAATAAAAAGGCAATGTAGACGACTTCACTTGCTCATAATATTGTTGGCAAAACATGAAAATATGAACTGTTTCACTCAGTCCTGAATTTCACTTACCCGTTTTCGTGACTCATAGTCTAGCTGTCCAGCAACATAGATGGCACCAGTCATATTCTTTACTGCAAAAGCTCCTCCATCATTACCTTTGGTGATTTCATATCGGATGCGGGATGCTTGAGGGGGAAAAAGTCAAATGTCACTTTGTACAAAAGACCAAGAAATGCATAATAGAATGAGTTATGACTAAGTACTTACATTCATCATTATCCTTTGCTGTGACAGTCAACACTGTATGATGGATATCCTCATTTTCATCTACCTCAGCCTCATACAAAGATTTGTCAAAGTATGGAGGATTATCATTCTTGTCTGAGATTGCAATACGAATCAAGTCCGTCACTAAAACAAGAAGGCATCAGTGATTCACAAGTTCACTTCAGTCAAAATACCAAAAAGAGTCCATGAGAATTCAGCCACCTCTGTTTGGGCCATCTATTCCTCGTCTGGCAGAAGCAGCACCATCAATGGCCTCCACTTCCAATGCATAAGCTTGTTTCACTTCCCTATCAAATACTGCTGTGGTGAAAATTTCTCCAGTTTGTTTGTCAATTTCAAAAAATTTCTTCCCCTCATTACGAGGTGAATCCACAATGGAATAGTAGACCTGGTGGGATAGGGGAGTTTACAGCAACTCATATAATTCAAAAGCACAGTCTCAAACCGTTCTATAAATGAAGCATGGTATACCAGATTATTTGGGAAAGTCCCATCTGCATCAATTGCTTTGATGGTTGTCACTCGGGTACGGATAGGTTCCCCTTCAGCGACAGTTTCCTGAGCTCTCTCCACAAACAGGGGTATCTCATCATTGACATCCTCCAAAACAATGTAAACAATTGCCTCTGATCCCAGCTGCTGAGCTCCATTGTTCTATTGGGGGGAAATATTACACAACAATTTAAATCACTCAAGCATCATGTCTTGAACAAAATCCAGAATATTTGATTCCATCACTTGCCTCGACTCTTATTGTGAGGTTGTACTCCTTGACATCTTCAAAATCGAGTTCCTTATTTACTTTTATATCTGCCCAAGTGACACCATTATCTGGACGAGGTTGAAGGTAGAAGGTGTCATCCTTATTAGTTTGCACTGTGAGTCCCTTCATCAGTGTATAAAATACTGTTGGGTTGTCTTCAATTCCAGACCTTTGACAATCACATAGATAAGCATCAATAATATATCCAACACACTGATCATTGGCATGCAGATAACTATCATTTTGTATTATCAGTGTTATCTATAGTAAAATAGAAAACGGTTGTATGAAGATCTGTTTCTTCTCAAGAAGTCAAACTTGCAATTTAAGAATTGAAAAAATGCCATCAATCTTGCAAAAGACAAAGATGCCATAAATAACAAATCACATTTATTCCTATATAGTACTGAAAGTTTAATTGAATTTCTATGACGTTAAGGAACATGTCAAACATATTTTAATAATTTCAATCGTGAAGCTTTTTATTACCCCAAAACCAATGAGTCAAAAAGTCTCATGGCTTCTCTTATCCAAGTTGCAAAGTGATCCAATCCATAACTGGAAATGAAACAAAGTTTCTCATTATGTACAACAGGAGTAGGATCTTTCTTTCTCATCTTTAGCAAGAAGGATGACATCCTTAACCATCATCATCCAAAATTTCCAGGTTGAAAATATTACACTCTCATGTTTAAAGACCATAGAGATACTCCAGTTGAATGCATTTATTCATGAAAAGAAAGATAAAGTACAGTCTTGAAGGTTCATAGGATTTAGAGTTTTGGCTTCCAATGGAGACCAGTCATCTATGGTCTTTCTATGCACAAGAGCAATTACCAAGAAGTCTATTATAATGGACAACATGGGTTACTTTTTCTTTTTCTTTTTGATACCACCTCAACTCACTGCATCAAGAAGCATTATTAATCAGATGTGCCAATTTCAGCATGTTTATACTCATTGAAGGACAACATCCACAATAACTTTGTAGCAACAGGAACTTTAAAACTCATTAACAATAAAACTCTTCTGCTCTTGTGATGTCAATGGAGTTGATTTGGTGATCAAGAACACTAAATCTTATCTTAGCAATATGAACACCACAACACTACACTGATAGCATAGTCAATTTAGAACTGGGAATCAAATAAGCCATACTACCACTTCATCTGATGGATTCACCAGATTACTTTGAATGAAATTGTCAATGCAAAGAGAATTCAAAGTGAATTGAAACACAACAGCTGAAATGCTATCAGTGTCTTTGTCTGGATTGAATTCTCACCTCCTGTTGGAGCCATCCCTACAGTTAGACTGAAACCATTGCTAGGTATTAGAACCACATGGTAATAATGCATTTATAATTAAAAAAAATTAGAGTAATGTAATCAACAGCATATACAGAGGGTGTCCATAAAGTGACTACCTATAGGTGACTTTTTATTATAGACCCTGAAGTAGCCTTTCTTTTTTACTTTTGTAGACTGACAATGTACCAACCTTGAAATAGTGTCAGATCTTTTCTCCTACCACTTAGGCATGGCTGAGAATTAATTTCTCACATTTGGTGTCTCATGATTTTTTTCATTTGAATGGAGAAGAACATTAGACAATGATTCGAGGCAAATTTTGCCATTCAACCCTATTGCAAAAAAACTTCTTACAGTTATGGTGTTGATTGAATATTAGAGCATTTTGGGAATACAAAATCATAAAAATTAGGAATTTACTTGACAAATTGGCTCAATGTGTCGGCCGCTGATTTCCACACATTTCTGAGCCCATTGTTGGCTCCATCCATGAGAATTCTATCACTTTTCTGGCACATGACACTTGAGATATTCTCTTTCAAGTTGTGCAGATCTGTGGGCTTCTCCTTGTAAACAATGGCTTTTCAGTAGCCCCAGTGAAAAAAAAAATCCCAAGGGATCGTGGAGGCCATTTGCCCTGGCTGACAATTTGGAATGCTATACTCCATATGTCTGAACTTGTAATGAAAACAAGGATTTGGTAAATTAATTTTCAGTGACAATAGTGTAGAAACAAAAGATGTGATACCATTCCAAAGTCTAATGATAAACAGCCTACAAAAATAAAAAAGTTGGTTCCCCCAGATTCAGTATGAAAAAAAAGTTGCTCATAGGTAGTCACTTTATGAACACCCTGTATTTAATATGCCATGGCAACTATTATAGCTCAAACAGGATAGTGGAGAATTCTCTTATCCATGATCAGCATGCCCACAAGCATGCAAAAATATTCCTGTGCAAATGTGTGTGAAACATTCCAGGAATTTAAGAACAAATAGGTGAGTTTGGTGAGCATTCGGTGGCCAGTGTGTTGAGAATGAAAGCAGGTTTCTTGAAGCAAGAATGTAGAGATGATCCTAACATCTAAGGCCAATTTGTCAAAAGAACAACACTTTTTCCCTTTCCTTTGCCCATTGTTCCATCATCACTGTATACATATGTGAAGCTAGAATAAACTGAAATGGCATCAGCAGGTGGATATAAGCATCACACTGCATTGTAGTGCAGAACACCCTATGACAAATTCCTGGTCCCCTTGATGGAACTGACATCACATCTAGCCAAAAGCCTGTAATCATGCCGGAGAAAAAATGCAGTGCTTCCATTCATTGTATCATATCTACAGTGTATAAACTGCTATGACATGTCCAGTGACCCACTTCCCGAAGTGCAACCTTGAAAGCAATAGGGATGAAATGTGTCATCTCCATAAATGGGAACAACTTCACTGATCTGACTCCTTCCAGATGCCAGTGCAGGGGACATAGCCCCTAGAAGAAGAAACTATAGTATGCCATATATGGTGAGCCATAAGTAACTATAGGCTACTTTAAAAAAAAAAAAACAAGGGTGTAGGTCTCCGTTATGATGTGACCCCCAAGAAAGAAGTTCATCAGTCAAACCCCATGATCCCACACCCATTCCACCCAAGCATCTAGCCTTCCAATCCACTGGCAGTTACTTGAGTTACAGGATGACTAGGTTTTGATTTATCTAAGACTCTTCCAAGTTTCACAAATTTGTTGTGAATGGTACAAATTGTGAGACAAGTAGGCAAGTAGGTAAAGCATGGCTTAGAAACAATTTTGAAATTCTTGCTGCTGTCACTGGACTCTCAAAATTTCCATCAGCCAAACAATCTTTTTTTGCCTCTCAGTTAAGTACCTGGACACCATTCTGAATCACCATTCAGAAGGGGAAAAAACTTTGGTGTGCTCTTCAATATAACATTATGCTTCTGTCAAAAAATACCTACAAATAGCCAAAGAAATAATCATGTCCTTATGGTTCACCATGTAGGGGGAAAAATAACTGAATAGGAGAGAACTCTCCTAAAAAAAAACTGTCATCATGAGAATGAATATCCTATATCAATCCAACAGCAATGATTTCTCCTGTAAGACATCTCCCAAAGACACATTAATTAGACCTTGAAATAACTAAGGCTTGGAATTTTTCTCTTCCCACTATCTCCTAAAGAACCATTTGTGACAGCAACCTGCATTAGATATATTGCTGATAACTAATCTCAATGTTCCTTTCAAGGTAAATTATGCATAAAATTCTGGACTTTTTCTCTCATCAGAACAATCACCAGAATCAGACAGAAACAGATAAAAAAAGAACTACAACAATCAGATGCTCCTCCTCTCCTTCATGACAGACCTATCAACATCAGAACCTTCTCATTTGGGCAAAGGTACAATACTGATGACAAAACCTTTAGTCAGTGATATGAAGCAAAAGAGAAAACCTCAGCTGAAATATTTCTGAACTAAGAAACTAAGGCTGGAACATGCAGAAACAGTCATGCATATGTAGATGGTGAATCCTTTCCTTCACGGAGTATGAAGCATGCACAACCACTGATGGATATGATCATGATACACACTGCGCCTTTACAGAGACCACCCTCGACCCAACAGTTTGATTTTCCTTCACGTAGATTGGACCGTAGACCAGCTTTTCCCATTGAGGTGGTTTGTTGTCACGATCCACAACTCTGATGAGAACATCCACTGTTCGTGATTCAGGTGGAAAGCCTCGATCGCGAGCTTGAGCTTCCAGGCTGTATGTGTCCCGCTACCGCACACAGGTTAGTGGAGTTAGTCAACAACTAATCTAAGGATAGGATTTCAATAGCTTACACTTAGCCTAGGACTTACGAAGCCGAGATAGATGCTACTACACTCCCAACATGAACATTTTCAGGAACATATATTGGACCGTAGAGAGTTTGATTCCATTCAGGTGGCTTATTGTTCCGATGGACTACCATTAAGTCAATTTCCACCGGTGTCTCCAAAGCTGGGTTCCCACGATCTCTTGCTATCGCCAGCAGTTGGAACGAAGCATGCTAAACACCAATCACCATACCATCCATCCCATGCATCATAATCAACATCAGTGCAACTACATTCAGTGCAATATCATTTTGCTGAATGCATTTTATTTTACTTAAAATTTTATTTATATTTTTTTTACAAAGGGGTAGTGGCCTTAAACAATTCACAGAAATTGAGACCAAGCTCAACATGTTTCTTAGTATGATCAGGTTCACTGGTGAAATGGTGCAGAGTTTGAGGAGTGCCATGTATTTTACCAGATCAGGAGGCAATGGGAAATGAAACAAAGAATAGATATAAGCAGAAATACATGCTTCTCATATCAAGCTTAAACTGTGACTGAAGTTAGAACCAGAAGGGAAAGAATCCATGCAGATTATTATTTTAAAAAACTGATCACATTCCATACATTACCTGTAGTTCTGACTGATAGCAGTTGTTGTCTTGGATGTCTGCTGCTATTTGAAAACATCAGCAACCAAAACTGCACTGTTCCATAATATTATACCAATAATGGGCTGGATTTTCATATACAACTATGCCAGATATGAACTCATTATATTAAATGTGAACCCAGGCCTGTTGCTGACTTATAATACCTCCAAAACTTTGTGGGAAAAAAAAATCAAATACAGCAGGTAACAAGAATATTACCCCCTGAATAACATTATTCTTATTCATTTTGATGTAGAATGCCTGAAAGTAATACTCTGTCCCCTTTGATATCCTTACTTCAAGCAGACATGATGACAGAAATATAGGATCCAATGTGGATGAGAAAAAGTGGCAACTTGCAGGAATGTTGTCACACTTGTGTTTGCATGCATGTTCAATTGGCTTTCAATCATCTACATCATTTAAGGCCTATAGATACTTAAACTTTCTGATGTTGTGTAGCTCAATTATACCTTTTTTTTTTCATGAGTTTATAGAAAAGGCATTCCAGTGAGACTACCTTCAAAATTATTGATAGCACTTGCAGATGGGGAAAAGGAAAGAAATTATCCCTCTGAAAAAGGCCACAATTGAAGCACTAAATGAGCATTCATCCAAGACATAACTACAAATTTAGTTAGTAGCTTATCTGTAGCTGATGAGCTATATTTGAGTGATGTACCTGCAGGCGATTCACAGAACACTCTGACATCGGACATGAACACTTATAGCAGAGGAAATTAATTTGTCATTTGATGTACAATCAAATTTTGAATTATCTTGGGAAAAATATCACAGAATAAATAGATTTCAAGTAGAATAAACTTTGTTCTGAAAGAAACCAATGGCAAGTTGGTCATTCGTGCTTGGGGATGCTCTCAGTATCAGCAACAGAAGAAAAGAATGTGACACTTTCTGCACTGTTGAAGGGAGTTTATATTTATAGGCTACCTGTGGTTCACCAACTTGATTGTCATTCAAAATTTTTCTTTTAACAGAGTACAAATTACTAAATGTTCTTATGGATGCTAATGCTGACAAGTGTCCAAATAGGCTGTCATTGCCAACTTGTCATTGAACCTCTTTAGAAAAATGCTTATAATCCTTGAGAACTATAGACACTGGCACTTTTTACCAGTCAAACAAAAATTTCAGTTGCACAAGTTTGCACCACCTCAAATGACTCATGCTATAATGAAATACAGAAATGAAATGAAATACAGCTATAATGAAAAAAGTTTATGCCTGTTCATGATGGTTTTTCAAGATCTCCTGAAGGTATGGAACAAGAACAATAAATAGACTACTGACAAAGAGCGCCAAATTGCATAGTGGTACTTTTGGGCAATTTGGTCTGATTATATGGTTGGAAAAATGCATTCTGAAAAGACATTCTGAAAATTCATAAGAAAAGAAAGGTATTTACACAATATGGTGGAGATGAGAGATTTCAAATGAAATCATCCACTCACATTGTGCTCTCTCCACTTGATTACAAAAATAACTATGTTTAGCAATTCAGACAAAGCACTTCAACTTTGCAAGCATAAAGAACTGGCATGAAAGTTGCTGGACTGCCAAATCAAATGTTTCCAAAATCATTCAGCTCATATTGCTAATACCTGCAAGGTATGCACTATGCAATACAACAAAGAACTCAAATTGTCATGCTGCTATAGACAAATCTGTCATGTAGCCTGATGTCAAAAGTTGCCCCTTTGATACAGAATCAAGCAAGTACAAGTTTAGGAAGATGGGTTTCAGTAAATATTGTCCACACAATGGTATAATTGAACTTGCCCATCCACAATTTGAACACAACAATAAATTACTTAATTTAGTTTTAAATCATATGATCATTTTTTATGTTAACATGGGACTCATGTAGTAGCATGAGTAATCTTAAATTTTGCATTCATGTGCTTAATTATTATGGCAAAACTATACAGAAATTCCAAAAATATCAGCAAAGGAAGCATGACAGAAAGCCCAGAGCAGGTCATGTAAGAACTCAAAGCAAAAGGGCTTACCTCACATATGTCCTTTGATGAGCGGAAGATGTCCAAGAAAGGTCATGCAAGAAAGCATGCACGCATGCATGTTACAGAAAGATGAATGAAACTCACCACCTGAAATTTCATCTTATACATCAGAACAGCCTTCAATACAGTGATTGGAATCTCACAGCAAACAATAATGCATTCACAGGGTTGAGTTTCCATTATTCATCAAATTCCTTAACCAGAATCTTTACCTCTCATAAGAAAATTACTCATGATACTCTTCCCTGTGATGTGAGAATGTGTTAAGAGTAGATTGATACTTATACAACTGCAGCTTGTTTAGATTCACTTTAATTACAAGAACATCAGTTGACTTTTACATACAATATGGCTTGATTTGGAAACAAAATAAAGCAAAAAAATCTAATTACATATAACAAGGCCTTTCTTTTGTATCTCTTTGTTGGTCATTCCCCATTTCTTGCTCATACTTCTTTTTTTTATGTATCACTCATTTATGTGGCCCAAAATCATGAACATCATGACATGCCTATGATCAATTTTAGTTTCTGAAGTTAAGTTCATAAAAGAAGTTTGTATTAATGAAGAATCAAATATACCTTCAGCTCTGACTTCTTCTATTAAGACCATTTAACTTGCTCATAAGAGATTCAAGCTTGAAAGACCTTTCCCACAGTTGTAGGCTCGTAAAAAAAAAATATGCAGATGAAACAGGAAAAATGGCATCACAGATCATTTCACTGGATTTTCAGAATATACTATCCAATACATTTTCCTGCAAGCCAAGCTTATTATATTCAAACAAAATCAACTCTGTCATGTAAAGTAAATCAAAGTAGTGAAAGCTGTCCTCTAGTGGGAAAGATCAAGAAAATAAGAGACAAAGAAAAGTGAGCAAAAATGAACAAAAATAAAGGACGGAGAAAGTAAAAGCAAAGCCTTGAAACAAGGAACCCAGAGTACAGAAGTCTTGCAGGATAGAAAACCATACTTCCCATATATTTCAATGTATTTCTATTGCAAGGTCAATAATTTTTTTTTATGGATAGTACAAAATTGTAATAAATTTTAAAATATATTACAATACTGCTGGGCCCCAAGAAACCTAGATGACTTTGTCTTCAGCAGTCAGCTGCTATCAATCTTTTTATATAGCAGTTGGCTGTGGAAGACATGTCATCTGTGTCTTTGCAAAATAGAAGCAAAATCAATAGTTATACAGAATATCCCTTCTTACTCCATAGCATTCAAAAGCAGTAATCTCAATCTCCTCAATGCATTATGGTTTTCATAATAGCCATTGTGACAGCTCTAATAAAACATACACACATTGTATCAAAATAAAATTAAAGAAAATGAATTTAATTTTTTATAAAATATAAATTCTTCATCCTATCACATGTCTGCATGTGACACCTCAATAAACGAAGATGAAGTGCCAATGCAAGTGTCCCAATGGTTAGGTGCCAACCATTGGCACACTTGCAGTGGAATGATTCATCTGTAAATTGTAAAAAGAGGCATTTTAGGGCTCAGACAAGGGTACTGGAATAAACTAAATCCTCATTCCAAAACTTTTTAGCTTTCAATGCCAATTGCTAATCTAACTTATCATTTTGGGCTGTATATGCAATTTATTTTGCAATGAAAACTCCCTTAGTCTCATAAGCCTCAGTGCCAATGTTAGTTATACTTAATCATTTTCAGTAAATTTCTTGTAACAAACAAACCAAAAAAAGGCTCAGAAATGATCTTGTCCAGATTAGATTCTGCTGTTATTAACAACAGTTTGCAAAAGCCTTGAAATCTCCTAACTACAATAGGAGTAATAATAATGGGCTTCTGACACCAATAAAACTGCAGTAGCATAGAATAACGCAAACATCTGCATTATTGCTACAATACAGGAATTAATGAAAGGATGATGACTACACAACCTTATTTATGCCCAAAACATAAGCATCAAAAAAGCTTGATTTACCCTTACCTCCCACCTACAATTGGGGGGGGAACCTCTTTCAGGCCTTTATCCAAATAAATTAACTAAAGAGACAATTGAAGAAAATGCTGAAACTCACATCCAATGGCTTTCTCAGTGTGATCCATCCAGATTCTGGCTGAATATCAAAATATTCAGCATCATCTGAGTTTCTATGTCGAGGATGGAGGCTATAGGTAATTGCACCATTTTGGTCAGCATCTTCATCTGATGCTGATACACGAAGGATATTAGCACCAATTGAGGTATCCTGTTTCACATTTTCTTCATAACGCTGTAAGAAAGGAAACAAAAAAAAATTTTCAAACAGCAAAAAAATAAGGACAGCATCAAAGTATAGGTCTGAGGAAAAAATAATTATGCAAATCACCTGTCGGTCAAAGAGTGGAGGGTTGTCATTAACATCAGTGATCTCAACAGTGAAAGAGCAAACGCCCTCGAGAGCTGGTTCACCCAAGTCTGTTGCTTTCACTGTTAATGATACAAATTTCCCATCTTCTGCCTCTCTGTCAAACACTTTGTTGGTGGAAATTTTCCCTGTATCTGGATCCACAGTGAACTTGGTCCCCTTTTGGTTAGGCTGCTTGACAATTGAGTATTTCACTTGCCCATTCACACCTTTGTCCTCATCTGTTGCTTCCACCTACACACAACAGATATAAATAAAATTGTCAAGAATACAAACAGTTAAGAATCATAATAGTTTCTTGAATGGATAAAAAGAGCTGATAATTGCTTTTATTGTCCTCACTGGTCAACAGATGATTTAGGTCAACTGATCAACCAGTAGTTAGGAGGCTCATTAGACCAATAACTGTCCAGTAACTGATAAAAGTGATAGCATATGCCTGAGTTAGACAAGGGAAACAGAAAGGCAAGTAAGGAGTAGAGAAACATGTGCCTGAAGCACTTTGGAGGTTTTTAACCCTTTCGGCAGCGTCCCAAATCGTTATCCTGCAGGCAAGCACGCAGCTGCATGACAAGCACGTACTTGGGATGACGTCGGAAGGGTTAATATCATTCATCATACACATTCTGCAAATGTCTCACATTGCATTGATTAGTTGATAAAACTGCAACAGATTAAACTCACAGTGATGACAGGACTTCCATTAGGGGAGTTTTCCTCCACTTTTGCATGATATGTAGTGCAATTATGGAACACAGGCTTGTTGTCATTGACATCCGTAATGAAGACCACAACAACAGCTTCACTGGTGTGAATTGTTGCTGCTCCATTCTCACAGCAAGATCCATCATCCATTGCTGTCACATTGAGTTCATACTTGTCCTTGTCCAATGTGATTGGGCCATCATGGAGACGGATCACTCCAGTCTGGGGTTCAATGACAAACTGGCCTAATTCCAGCTGTCCCCTAGAAAATCCGAAGTGCACATTGTCTCCATCTTTATCAGATGCTATCACAGTAGTGACCAGAGCCTTTGGGCCAGCATTTTCATCCACATTTGGGGTGTATACAGCCTGGGAGAAAACTGGTGATTCATCGTTCTTGTTCTTCGTATAGACACGCACAGTGGCTATGCCTGTCTTGGGTGGTTCACCTAAGTAAATGGCATAACAAAATCCAGCACCATTAATGAAGAAATGGGCCTAATTGGGAGTATGTTTCTCATACATTCCTGTATATTTATTTACTTTTATACCATGTGACAATAGCTTACCTTTGTCCTTAGCAGTCACAGTGAATTCATAGTAGGCGTTATTGTTATCAGCATCCAGCTTCTTATTATTGAATATCACTCCATTGTTGTTGATTTTGAAATGATCGTCAGATACAGAATATTCAATTTCAGCATTGGCACCTGAGTCACCATCTGAGGCTTTCACTTGCAGGATACTGGTCCCAATTGGAATGTCTTCATCAATGTTATGTGCCTGATAATCTGGAAGCTCAAACTTTGGAGCATTGTCATTGACATCTGTCACTTTGATGGTCAACTGTGAGAAAAGAGAATTCCAAATTAGTTTGGAGAGGTCCTCAAAGAATCTGATTTGCAGACAGTGGCAGTGATGGTGCAACTGTAACTCACAGTAACTGATGTGGAGAATCCCCCAGAGTCTTCTGTAGCAGTCACAAGTAGAGAGTAGATGTGTGTTTGTCTCATGTCCTCAAAATCAAGTTCCTTGGCTAATTTCACTATTCCCGAAGTAGGGCCAATGTTGAAAGTTCCAGCTCCTTGCCCTTTTGCTTTCAATGTATAACGAATCTCCCGTTCCGCAAAAGATTTGGCTTTCACAGAAATTATTCTATTGGAAGAACAAAAAATTCATTACATTTACTTTTCACAAGATCACCAGATTATTACCCTCTGTATGAAGATGAATCATGGTTACAGCTAGGTTTGCTAAAATCTGGAAAAAGCTTTCCACATTGTTTTTTTTACTCTATCTCAGCTGATAAAAGACTTGCTCAAAATTTTCATTATCATTTACTATTGTAAATTAAGAAAACTGGGGCAATAAAGCTTTCACTATTAATTTATAAATTATTTCATGAATATATAAAAGTTCCTGCAAGAGCATGCAAGAAAGCTGGAGTCCACTTCATGAATCAAACCTAGTACTGAAGTGCACAGCTGAAATACTACTCAATATATAAACAGGCTCTACCCATATGGACTAACAACAAAGATAACTGATATGTTTAAAAATTGCCATAAACTGAAATTCCATCATATCCAAAGCTCATTAGTTTCATATCAAGAGCCTGCTCTGTACTCATGCCTATGTGGGAAACTTAATTTTATCTATATAGAGCATAGAGTATCAGTCACATATTGCAGTAACAAGGTTTATTTTTGCAACAAACTAGCAAAAGATGCTATCAGTCTCCAGGATGTGAGTAGCACTAAAAATTTGTACATATCATTCCAAAGAAGGAACAGGAAAAAAAACATAGAATCCGATAAGAGTTACAAGACTAAAATTGCAGTATTTTGACTCACTCAGAATCTTTCTTTTGGTTTTCAGGGATTTCAGCTTCATAACTCTCCATATAGAATTGTGGAGGCCTTTTGCCACCCACAATGGACAACTTAGTTTCTGGTGTTGACTGAAAAGTTCGGTCATCAATTCTTCCATTGTGATCTTCTGCCTTGACAAACAGCATATATTCCATGTCAAGTTGGAAAGGGTCATTTCCACGTGTTCTCACTACACCAGACCGCTCATCCACCTCAAAACGGCCCCCAGCTAAGGGGAACAAGCATAGATGATCCCAATGTCATAGGGATCACTAAAGATAGGCACTCCATATTAAATATTTCTACAACTCACTTCTGTCACGGACAAGAAAGTAATGGATGTCACTGTCTGTGTCTGGATCTCTTGCTTGAAGTGTAAACACTGGAGTATTTGGTGGGGCATTGAGCTTCACAACAGTCTTCATGGGCAAAGGGCGGTTTATGAAAAAGGGTAGTTCATCATTGACATCTTCCACCTGAATGATGACTCGCTGGAATTCTGTGTCTGGAAAACAACATTTCCATCACTAACTTGCCCAGCACTAATAAATAACACTTCAGCTACTCACAATTATACAGAAAAAACAGCTTCAATGGGATACATGTTGACAAAACCAGGTCCTGTACTTAATTCATGTCTACATCGAGTTTTTGCTTCACTCTATTTTATCCAACAGCAAAAGAAAATCTGCAATCCTTCCTTATTAACTGAAATTTACTTGGTTGCCTCTGAGTGCCTAGTACTATGGGATTGTTGATCCCAGTTATGCCTTGGGTGGGTGCTGAGAGCACTGAAAAAGAGACTCCAGCAATACTTGAAGAGAATCCCAAAGAACTTACATTGGATGTTGCCTGAAATGTAAAATGAGGAAAGGAAGAAAACAATCATAAGGAGACCATATCATGTACTGAACTTCCATAAAAACTGTCTAGACCCAAAGGTCAGCAAATGACTTATCTGACTTCATGTGTTGTCATCATAAGGGTCTGTGCCTGAATTAAGAGGAAAAACTGATTGTCTATATGAAACTTGTTAAAAAGTTTGTCCAGTTTTGACCCCATAACTGGAATTCAGTGAGTATGTACTATCACACCATATGAAAGGGAAGTTTGCTTATCTCAAAAAAGCCAGAGAGAAAATAAAGATGGTTGATATATGAAAACATAAACATGGAGGTCTAAATAATTAGGGAGCCACATGAAATTTTTTTTTATCTTTTAACATTTTTAGGACTATCACTGCACATACAAGGTTTCAGACTTCGTGCACTTGGATCACTTAATCGCCTTTCAGATTGTCTGGCATCAACTTGTCTATTAGTATGATTTATGTCCAACATGACTGCACTTAATTGGCACTTGTGGGTAATTATTAGTAAGTAAATGTTGCTAATGAATTTTCATCAAATTAAATGTATTTTACTGGTAGCTCCAAGAAAGATCATTGGTAAGTGGATGGATTAAGATTCCTGAATCCAAAAGAAAAAGGTCTGCACAAAAAAAAGACACTTCTAGCTCATGGGGCAAACATTGGGTTACTCACAAAATGCCAACATTCACACTGTGGTGATGGAGTGTGACTGTTATATTTAATCCAGATGTTTCACCAAATTTGACTTAATCAGACATCACTATTTTCCAAAACATTGCAAAAGGTTCACCCATCAGCCCCATACATTTTCTTGAAAATTGCAGCATTAAGGGGATGGCTGAGGAGACAAGAGCCCAATATATGATTCATTGATTCCTGAATTCCTCACTAGATCAGGAGGGGGGTAGAGGAGAAAAAGACAAGAGAGGAAGAAATGGAGGGTGGCAGTGAGGGGTTATCAGAGAGGAAGGGAATGAGGGAGGACAGGAGGAGCATCCCCTTCTTCCTTTCCCCATCCTTCCATTGATTTCCTTCTGCCCCCCCCCCCCCCGTCTGCCTACGCCTATACCTCCCTCCTCCACATCACAAGGAACAATATTATATACACTACACCAACACCTTTCCTGGGCTTTTTCTTCTCATTTCCATAGCAGCTCCAGTTCAGGTTGCTCATCAGGCACCACAGAGTTTCACTCACTCAGCAGTTCTATTTCTTTTTATTAGCCTCAGCAGTTTCCCTGCACCATAAAAGTTCCCCCATTATGACAGGCGAAGGAAGGTAAAAAAGAGGGCCTTCAACTAAGCCTGCATTTGTTTATACGCAGGGAACGGAAAACATTCTGCTTTTGAGTCTCCGACAATAGACATAGACGCTAGACTAAACAAACTTTTCTTTCTTGGGTGTTTACACTGCCAACGACGCCGTGGGTACACAGGAGAAGAAACATCACCAAGCCCTCTTGCATGGTCGCTCTCTCCCTTGAGTCTCTTCCGGATTTATTCGTTCGCCAATTCAGAGGATTAATGACAGGCTTACATAAACCGTAAATATCTCAGGCATATCTTTTTCGCATCCTCACAGATTTTAAAAATAACCACAGCAACACAAGTTCACAAAGTGAACAGAAAATACAGCTTTTCAGCATGTTTGCCCGAGCATATCGTCAGCGTAGTAGAAAGGTTGAATCAGGGTTGATTACAGCAAGGAGTGACTTCTATCTAGTCACGGGTAAGGACAGCTATTAAACAGTACGTGCTTCATGTCACAGGATCAGCTTGTCCATCATAAGTTGTCGTACACTCGTCAGGAAAGGCGAGACGAGGGAGATGGAAATAGGTCTATCGTCTCGCTACGAGGCAGAACGATGAACGAATGTAAAGCGCAACCCCCAAAAATGATTGCCACTCTCTCTCAAGAACAAGTCAATACGGTTATAGTGTGCAGCTTTAAAACACATTAAGCATAAAAATTTGGCCAGCAGATCCATTCATTACAAATAATAGCATAGAGTTGGTATGTTCACAGAATCTTAACGCGTAGAGCGTACTCATGCATGGATATTGAGCTCTTCTGCGCGTTTTCTAAGTCAGCCGGGCCTGGCGAACCTAAATGTTACCGGGACAATCCTGAACTGGAATCCCTCTTCACAGTACTGATAGTGCACAATTCAGCAAGTATGTTGACTTGAGAAGTGAGCCAGTTCGTTTTTTACTTTTCGAGCGGTCAATGAAGGAAATATGCGGGAATAGATCAACGAGGCGTGCTGTGTTCGTATACCTGATTATGATTAGATTTGATCAAGTCTCATTCCTCTATACAAGGCAGGCAAGTATTACTGGGCACCCCTTACTGTCCATGGCAGACCTAGACGCATAAACAAGATGTTCTGTGATGGGTTCCAAGTGGGAATGATTGTCCTGTCAATCCCAGAGGCATTTGCATGAGTCATGCCTTAACCAGCAGGAGGGAGTTGAGGGAAACCTTAGCAATGCCTCCCCTTCGTCGCATTTACCCTTGCCAGCTTGTAAACAACTCAGTGAGGCACGAAAATTGCGTCAGGTAGCGCGAAATATTTAGATCGCACTCAAGAAATGTACATTTAGTCATACAAATATCTTGTCATATATTTTTTTCCGTTTAGCACAGCGCGGTGCTGTAACAAGACTAATCTGTCCCGAACATGTTGCTTCTGGCCCATTGACAGATTTCCAGGGAGGGGAGGGGGAGGAAGTAAGGGAAAGAAAGAACAGGGGGAGAAAAAAAAAAGGCGCTTGAGTATAAATGCAAATGCAAATTTCGTGAGGGGAATTTCCGTCTGAGACTGCAGAAAAAAGAAACAACGGTGCCACTCGCCAGCTCCTTCGCTCAAGGGTGTAATATTAACCCTATTCAAGTAATTTAGCACCAGGTTATGACATCCACTTGTCTTCCCCCTCCAAGAATTGATGACGAAATTCTACAAGGGCGTTGACCTCCCGCTGTGCTATAGTAATAGAAAATGCTTAAAATGTTTGGAATTTGTCTGCATGCATGCAGCTCAAGATGGCATTTTACTTCCATCTTAGCAACATGTTGAGTTTAGGGAGATCCTATGACAAAGCAGGATGTTACCATGATCACGTGATGTCATATTTCAAGTCATTCCTTTCAGTGCTGGCCGCTGACGCATCCGGAAATGACACGCGCTCTCGATACCAGGAAAGGGTCTTCTTAGGAACAATTTTGCGGATGAGGCTCCTCAACGAAGGAATTATTTTACTTGCATAATACCCTCTCTTTTTTTTCTCCTCCACGGTTAGGATTAGGATTAGTCCGTCAATTACGATCATTATCACAGGGTGAGGCAGAAATACCTGACGGTTTTTTAATTGTAATAACAAATTACTGAGAGCAGATAAATTTTATAGATATATTTTTTAATTCTGCATATATTTGAGAATACAGTTTTCCATGCGTCAAATTTTTTTCGAAGATGATGTCCTGCAGATGGGCTCCGCGATCAATACATTCTCCTGCGCGTGTAGACACGGATGCCATGACTCGGCACAGTAAGTCATTGGGATGTTTCAAATATCCTGGTGAATCCTTTCCTTGAAATCATCAATACTGGCAGGACAGTATTGTTACACCTTGGGACCATAGGACACACCTTGCTTTTTAAATAGCCCCACAAGGAAAAATCAGGCGCTGCCAGGTCTGGTGAGGGCGAGGCCAGTTCAGGTCTCCAAAGCGACAAATAAAGCGCTGCGAAAACACTCTACTCGCCTATCACACGCACAGGTGAATGTATTGACCGCGAAGGAGCCCATTCGCAGGACATCTTCAAAAAATTTTAAAGCATGGAAAACTGTATTCTCCAATGTTTGCAGAATTAAAAAATATATTACTACAAAATGTATCTGCTATCAACCATTTGTTATTACAATTAAAATCCATCAGGTACTTCTGCCTTACCCTGTGTATAATGGATGATTACCTGCAAAAATTCCCTGTTAAGATATTTCTTCAGATTAAAGGAACAGACATTGTTTAAATAAATAATAAAATACAGCCTCTAGACCACAGTGCCATTCCAGTTAGCCAGTATCTGTGAAACTTCTGCCCACACACCATATTGTAAGGTAAAGGCACCAGTTCAGAGATGGGATTTATGGACATTTTCTGCCATCCTAAAAACTTGAGCTGAAACTGCCTATCTTCAGCTATTCAATATTTTGTGCATGCCTGTTAGACAGTATCAAGCAATGAAGAGTATAGATTTCCTGCTTAAATTCTTCAGGATAGCAGAAAATATTAAATCACCCACAAATAGGTGTCTGTCTATTAACTGGTGCCTGAGCTGATATTTTGTGAGCAAAAAGATCCACATCCAAAAGGATTACTAAGTAAACAGCAACAGCTACCAATGCCTGAGAGCAGATCACTGTTCTCATTAATCATTGAGTGCTTGTCTGGCATTCTCAAGAACTTAATCAAAATGAAGAAGCCACAGAAAACACTCACTTCCATTTGCAGGATTTTTTATCTCTACCCAGAAATTGATGGTCTTCTCAGGGCCCAATTCTTCATAATCCCACTTCTTCTTGACACGGACCGCTCCATTGGGCTCTACAGTAACCCATGGATTTGACTGATCCCTAATCTTGAAATACTCTTGCTGGTAATCCTTACTCAATTCAAAAACCTTTGTTCCTTCCACAGCACCGTCTGTTTCTTTGTACTTTGCACGATGGGTAGGACGAACACCTTGACTGTGGCTTTGTCTCTTTTCTCTGTGAAGCTCATCTTCATCAAGCAAGTGGTCTTCCAGCAACTCAAGTTCATCAACCATATGATCTTCCAGATTCGTAGCCGCATCAAGGAACTGCACATAAACCAGGGCAGGTTGGCTAGACCTAAGTCTGTCCTCCCTGACATCATAGGCATCCACTTTCAGTCGATACTCCACACCAATTTCAGGTTCACCAGCCAGCAAGATGTCACCAGTTTTAGGCACAACAACAAACATCTCATGAGGCTCTGCAAGCTTATAGATGACTTTGTCACCATCCATGTCCCTGGCACGCACAGTTCCGACACGGCTTAATCTGGATGTGTTGGATGGAAGATGAAATTCATAAAGAGATTTCTCAAACACAGGTGGATTGTCATTGATATCATCTATATGGACCACAAGCTTGGTTTTCACTTTTTCCCCAGTCTTCTCATTGAATGCAATGATGAAGGTCTGGTACGTGGTCTGCTCTTCTCGGTCAAGGGGTTTGACAGTCAGAACTTGGACACACCATTGACTGACTTCATGGAGGCTAAAGATATTGTCATGATTTCCAAGTCTGAAGTGCATGGCAGCAAGGGCATTTCCATTACCATTTAGGCAAATGGCATCTTGAGAATCTGAGATCCTGATGAGAGTAAGTGGAGAGGAGTTTTCAGCAACATGGCCTTCATAGCTGTCAGTGAGAAATTTGAGCATATCATCACGATGTATCACAAAGAGATTCTCAGTTCGTACATGCTTTGAGGATTCTCCCTCCTCTGATATCACCAGAGTAATATATGAGTTCACCAGGTGTGAGATATCACACTTGATCATGAGGACACCACTTCTTGATAAGAAGAAATATTCAGAATGGTTGGAAGGAAGCAACTGGAAGTTCCGATCATCCACTTCATATTGCTTGATGACATGTCCTGCACTTGCATCATGTGGCACTGTGTAAAGTCCTCTCACACTAACAATGACAGCCACAATCACAGCCACAAAGGAGCAAATCATCTGATTTGTCCCCATTCTTCAACCACTCATGCAAATCTGCCACCAACCATCCTGGGGGACAGAACAGGCATATTGTAGATGCATAGGTATATACCATGTGATATAAGGTTATAGGGGAGTCCTAAAAATTCTATACATCTTAACAAGACAATTCCTTCTAGCTTGCAACAATAAATAAATAAATTCATAGTTACAATACAGGATTTTTCTAAACTTTATATGAGTGGTCTAGGGCAATAACAATAACCGAAGGAAATTTTGTGGAATACAACCTCAAGTCCATGGTTCAAAATGTCTTCAAAGTAGCAACCCTGCTATTGAGCATGTTATAGAGTTCCTTCAGAACTGCCCCTTGCCTTTGCCATCATGTTACATTTGAAAGAAATAGAGCTTCTTGTTCAGAATTTAATGCTCTTTCAAATGGTCAATTTCTCATATGCACCATTAAACCTGTTCCTCTAGACCTCCTGCATGAAGTTTCAAACACCCTTTGGAATGAGGAAGCAGTAAACCCTCATTTGCAGGTGTGCAACAGTCAGGTAAAGCTTCCAACAGGTTTTAATACCTGCTTCCTCCCCTTTTTATAGTTTACTGTTAAACTACAATGTGTTCTGAAACTAATGAGACTTTCACTCCTGCCCCAGTGCTTTGCACTATAAAACCCTCAAACTAGGTGGGCAAGGAAGGGGAATTAAAAGCTTTAGCCCTATACAGGTTGCAACTGGATACAACAATGCAGGCATAAATTGCAATATGTTAAGCACTATATGACAATACCATTACACCAGCTTACATGCTCAAAATAAGCCCTTCAACAATCATAGCAAATGGCCTGTCACAATTGTTAACAAAGGGGCACAAGTGTATTCTAAACATAGTCCCCATGAAGGATGACAATTCTCCCACCCGTATAGCCACTTGTTGAAAGCTAACACATGCAGGTCCTATGGCTGTTCCCACACCCACTGCAAGAAGTTTGTACATTCCTCATGTGGTGAACCCCCAACTACACAGGGTCTTCTTCATAGCTGGGGAACAGTGCAAAATCACTCAGGGAGTGATTTTGTCTCTGGGGTATGGTGGGTGCTCCAAAGCCTAATAGCCCATAGCAGCCATGGCTAACATCAAAACACATCTGGCATACGGGACATTTTCCATATGGAAGATGACCTCATCTGCTACTGGTGCATGGCATTCCCACTATGAGGCTGGGTGCAGGCCTTGATGTAACACATCACAAAGGTAATTCAGTCTTTCCCAGAGTTAGGAACTCCATATGTACCCCCTCCAGATAGTCCCAGATGATCCACGTCACCTTTCTCACAGAAAGACACAGATATTTGTGGATGGAGGGCTTCCAAAGTGTGACTAAGCCTTGCTTTGCTGCTTGCTTTTGGAGACAAATTAAGGCACCTAGCTCTCATCCATGCAAAGCTGAAGCCCAAGGAAGTCAGTACCATCTGTTGCATACTAATTCAGCATCCTTTTGCACTGGACCATGTGCATATTAGTCATCTGATAAGGCCCCCAAAGCAGAGAGATCTTCTAATACCCCAGCAAAATGCAAAATAACATGCAGCTGCCCCATTCTTATATTATTTCCAATTCCTGTGTGATGATGCAGTGGTTTCCCTGGGAGTACTCCTGGCCTTAAAAGTCAACTCATTGGAAGGCAGTTGCTCTAGAGCAGGTCTACAACCCATGTCTTCTACAGCTGGGTGTGAATGCCAGTGGCTCTCTGGTCCCCCAGCCATAAATAATTCCATGACAGCACCCTCCTGTAATGTCTATCTGACAAAGAGTTGTGCCATTTTGGACTGCAGTCATTTCCAGTAGTGACTTTCACCTATGAATCCCTCTCCCTGCCCACAGAGTTCATGGGTTCAATGCTGTAGCAGGAGCAAAAGTCTCATTACTTTTGGAACACCTCTGGTATGATAACACTGCAAAGGAATAAGCCCTACTCTCTGGTGCATACTGCAAAACTGTTTAAAACTGAAGCCTAAAACAAAATTATTAGGTATTGAGAGCCACTATAATGGACATAGCAATAAAGTCCATGCATAAATGGAGAGAATTGTAAATAAAGTTGCAGGTAACAGGTTAGATCAAAAGATTCAGTGAAACAAGCATGTATAAAAGTTAAAACCTTGAATTTTCTGGTGTAAAAGATTTCAGTTCATACCTACCTTATAATAGGGGGACCATAAGTCCCAATTTCATTGGGACAGTCTCATTTTTTCAGGCTCTGTCCTGGTTTTAGACAAAATAGCACCTGTGTCCTGGTATTTTTGGCTAGCCGTATTTTTCCCCTCCCTATATTTTTGCTTGGAAGCAATAGCATCACTGCTTCCATACCACAGTTCATAGCTGAGATGATTCCCATTTCTGTGGGCTTTGATTATGACAAACTCTTTGAAGTCACCTGCTTAATTGCTCTTGTTGAGAGGGAAATTGCTGTATGGAATGCTCAAGAAAAATAAGTTGAAATGGAAAGCAGCATTTTGGCATTTTAAAACCAAAAATATTTCTCATGAGAATTTGAGAAGTAATGCTGCTGTTGCTCTCTGCCTTCCAGGGACCAATGTACCAGTGGAATGAGTTTTCTCAGCAATGAATTTTATCACTTTATCTTATAGTCAGCTTGATTAAAGCTACTATAGATACAAAAAGTATGAGGGGAGAGAGATAGCAAAAATAAACTCATTAACTTAATGACCATCTTGAGGGAGAACCAACAAAAAAATCCTAAGAGAATCTGGGTTTGGTTAATGAAAAACAAATAAGTTTATAGATGTGGCACAAGTCAAGCTATCCTAGGCCCATGGTATTCCCATCCCATGATTGTCTAATACAGGGCAATGAACTATCAATATCTCGTTTCACTCTTACACTGTCTCAAGATTGAATTAATACCAACATCTCCAGTGGGAATGGAGGAAACACAAATTTCCAGAAGTTGCTTGCTTCAACAGGTGATAGACACAACCACCCGTGTGTAAGATGTCACAACCTGCAATCGATGGAAGCATTCCCATAGGAGGTATGATTTCATTCCAACTTTTATTTAATCAATAATGCCAAACAACTTGTGAATCAATCATGCCTCCTGACCCTAGGTAGAAATAGATTAAATCTATGCCTAGTGTTTCTCAGCTGTGTTCAACACATAGCATACAGCAGGGGTGGCCAAACTGTGGCTCCTATGCAGATAAAGTATGGCTCGCAAGGATGTGAAATTTTTTAAATCGTAATGTTGGCACTAAGTTAGAGAAAGTGTAAAGTGGTGTGTCTTGCGGCTCTCAACCATGTGAATATTTTGTAATGCGGCTCGTAAGGTCAAGAAGTTTGGCCATCCCTGACATTAAGGAAGGTAGGTGTAGGCTAGGCCTATGCTATATGATGGACCCAAGTCAACTTTTGAGCCTAACGTTACTCCAATTGTGGCTCAGGATACTAACGCCTCCAGTAGACTAGGCCTAGTTAACTAGGTTGTACACTTTTCTACCCTTACCCAACCCCACGTAGGTCAAAACTTAAGATCGAAAGAAATTTCGGGTTCATGAGAAGGTAAGAATGCAGTCTACAATTGAGCCACCGACGTCGCCATTTTGCTCGTAACGATCTGGGGGGAGGGGGCGAGCCAAGCCAATGCCGGTCCTGCGTCCCTTGTAAACAACTGGCCGGCATGGCCGTTCCCATCTCTTCCTCCACTCCCGCTTTTATTATCTTACCAATCGATAGAATGCTTCATTTCGGCCCTTCAACTAAATCAATATGGAAGAAATCGCTAGAGAATATAGCGCTGAGACGGTTCAGAAAAAAATTTGTCAAAGCAGCCATTGATGACGCTTATTTTCGTATTCATTTCGGGAGTAAGCAGGGAGAAGAACAAGAAAGGAAGGGTTGCCTTGAACTTCACGGGGTTCTGGGGCTGGTGACCGGCGCGGTTCCGAACTACCCCACAGAATCGCGACCACGAATCTTTCTATTCTGTGGCCAAACCCCATTTACTGTACTTATTTTGACTCGTCTCAATGGCACTTTTCTCTTGATTCGTAAGGTGCATTTTATTACTCCAGACCATGACATGCCAACCTCATTTGAAATTCACCGTATGTGTCGGATATCCTTATCACCCGTCGCATGCGATTCAAAAAGCGATTTCAGTCAAATGTATGAAATGCTTCAATAAGAAAACAGGGGCAGCGAATCCATTAAACAAAGAATATACAGTCAAGCAACGTTATACCATCACTTGGTGTACCGCCACCGACCCATCTTCGCTCATCGCCAACTCTTTCCGAAGAAAAAATCTTCACCATTAGCTTATAATAAGCGATCCTCCACCATAGCGCCATCCGTCAGTACCACGACTTGAATAAAAGTATTTTTCACGTAAATCCTCTTCGGTTTTGCCCTAAGAAGGATATTTGCAACGACCCAAACCTAGTATGTACACGTTAAATACAGCCATTAGACTTAATTATGCAGGGCCTTTCTTTAATCATGCCCCACACATCATTGCATCCTCTTCAAATACCAGGGAACCCATCCCAAAACCTGAGATAAGGATCTTCATGGTTGCGGGGAAATCGCGGACCCTTTATATCCTGTACTCAAGACCGCGAAAACTCAATGAAGATCGGTCAGAACCCTTTTTTTTTGTGGGTAGGGTTGCCACCCGTTCATAATTTGTATGGACAGTACATATTTCAGATGCAATGTCCATACTGCAAACTGGTCCTAATATGGACATGGTTTTGTCCGTATTTTAAACTTGTTACAATTTTTTTCAATGAAGCTTAATAGCAGCTAATATCGTTTATTCAAAAGCTGTAAGTAAAAAGTCGAAAGTAGTAGGCCACCCTCAGTATCGATTGGCGCCTTGGCTTAAGGCGGCTGTAGGATGAATTTAGAATATTTGTCCATATTTTGTAAAATTCAAAGGTGGCTACCCTAGTTGTGGGGATCGCGCGGACAATGAGGAACGAAAGCTAAGTAACTATAGGGTCTTGCAGAATTAAGTTGAATAGTTGTATTTGTTTTCAACAGTCCACCCGATCATGTAAGAGATAGCGAGACCGTGAGAGGTGACTCATACCAGTAGAATTGTGTATAGGGATAGAGTGGGGTATCAGAGGGGGCTAAGGGTGTCAATAGAAGCCCCCATTAATCAATTTATCCGTCGGAGATTTCGGTATCGTAGCCACTGGCTTACTGTGATTCATTCGATGTAGAGTTACTCACCCGCGTTATAGGGTCCAATTCGGAAACGTCCTAGGGTGACGTCATATCGAGGGTTAACTGAAGATTTTATTCAGTTCCTTGCAGAAAATTACTTCGAAACCTTTGGAGCTTCGAGGGAAGATGCTGCGATGGAGAGAAAGAATGCTGCGTAATAAAAACCGAAGCATAATGCTAAGCAAAAAATGTGCCTTAGCCAACTGATGCTTCAAATGCTGATCAATTCTTGGTTCCCTTCTCTCTCGTATTTATATAAAAGAAGTAATACTAGATATTTATGGCATTCTACAAATCAATTGCTCAGTCAGGGGGGATCCAGATGGAGCGATGTACTGGTGCAAATTTGCCGAGACTTCTTTTCTCCTTGCTTGGGAACTATGGATATGTTTACTGGTGGAGGTTTATTCAATCCTATACGTGTGCATGCAGGCAACGTCAGGGGAACGGAAGCCCTTATTACGGCATGGAAGATAGTGAAGATAGTGGAAGCCATGTGTCGTCACCTGTGATGAGATGAGATGAGATGTTGCTTGGCTTACTTCCTTTTCATTAGCGTAAAGGCTGAACCATCAGGCTAACTTTCGAGAACAAATTTCGTCTCTTACTTCTCCATGGCATTCATGTTCCTACCAGATTTCAGATTGAGTTACAAGGGAGGAAAGTGGATGACGGGGTGGAAAAGAGTGGTTTTTGCATCCTTAAAAACAAGGTAACTGAGAAATCTCTCTTTGACCTTGTTCGATTAGATGATTCAGGTTCTGGAACGTGGTCACAGCAGAGAATAACCGGAGATTGCAAGGTCTTCCTTTGACATTGAAGCAGTCACTCAACTCAAGTTTCTTCTGGATATGGGCGGTCAGAATGAGAGCGGTCTGAAGAGTTATCACGAGATTTTCATATCTGAGTACGCTCTCATGGGTCTTGTCGACAATCCCGAATTGATCATTATCAGTCTTTCTTCCTTGCAGAACTGGTGGTAATGGACCGTTCAAGAAGGACGTTGAGAGGAATTTTGGCAACTTTATACTCGGGAGAGAAGATGCCTATGTCACCGGCAAGGGTTACAGACAATAACTATGTCTAACTCAACACGTCTGACATGGAGACCGAATGGAACCTCCTTTGATCTTGTGCTTTGACTGCAGCAGCGGGGATGAGTGGCAAAAACCCTATTGTCATGATAAATGTGGATTTATAAGGAGTGGAAAACGTAAAACGGAAGCCAGTGGTCACCGTCAGTACAAAACGGAAACCGCTGACCGGAGGCGGATCTCCGTCGACGGAAGGAGCAGAACTTCCGTGACAGTAAAGACGACTGTCCATCAGCGAACCAGTCCAGTTGGATCGCTGAAGACCGACTGGATGGTAAAATATGGACTCTGAGCAATTCACCGCGGAAGTGCAGAAGCATCCGCGTCTAAACGACACAAGATCAAAAGAGTACATTGACAAGGTGATGAAAGAAAATGTCTGGGAAAATATCGGAAAAGAGTTTGGCTGTTCAGGCGAGTCCAGGCCGCTCTTTGTAGAGTGTAATTCTAGTCATTTTATCCATCTACTATACCATGACTAGACCTCACGCCTTATTTAGAAATGTCTGTGGAGCATTAGCTGACAATGCTCTAAGAAGCTTGGGTTTTATTTCCATTTCTCCCTGTACAATAAATTGGAACTTCTCCTGTTTGATCAAGCAGAAACAGAGTCTCGAGACCCTATTTCTGAAGGAATTATACAGGGTGACCCATTTAAAAGTGGACCCGGTATCATACCATCTACAACGTGCGATCATTCACTTCCAACAACCTTCGCTGCCGCTAACGAGTGCCGAGCGGGTCCACTTTTAAATGGGCCACCCTGTAGTTGTTCATTTGGAGAAATTCACACTTAGAACGAAAATTCCTGTCTTTCCGTTGGAATTGGCACCCAACTCTCCTAAGGAGATCATCGAATCTGTCTTAAGACTTTCGCGTATGTGTAAAAAATGCTTCTTGATCGTCAAGCGCATTTCTTGCATCAGAGCATAAGCGTAGCGTGGATGGAAAAAGTGTGCGAGTGCGTGTGGGGGGGGGGGAGGGGGGGGGGGTACGGGAACTCTGGGATACTGTTATCATGCATTTCATGGGTCTTTTCCTCCTTTTTTGGCTTCTTTTCTTGAAAAGTGGGGGAAGGGGCACATGATCCCCCCCCCCACCCCGACGATACGCTATTGCATCTGAGCATGGTATTCTCTGTGCTGCTCCCTTTAAAATATTGGCCGCACATCCCATCTTCCACTTTCGTCTCTTCATTTCACATTTTTGCAATCCCAATTGGTGGGTCAGCAAGAGCAGAGCCATGGAATGCTTCGCAGTGTAAGGCGCCATGGTGAACGAACCCTGGCGCGATCGCTCAGCATAAATTGCCTTCCGTCTGACGAATGCGACGGCGGAAAGAGGAAATTTCCGTTCTCAAGTTTGACGAACTTCCGCCATGCGTTTTCCGCTCCGTATAAATCCACCCTAACGCCGAGAGGACTCCCCAGGTGGTCAAGAAAAGTACGTCAGACTGATGCTGCCAAGAAAGCAGCCTGTGAGGCATGGTTTTCCAGCAGGTGAGACCCTTTGAGGGCGTGCTTCAAATATGCGCATAGAGCTGCTGAGGAAAAAATTCGGCGAGCAAATGGAATCCGACTACCACAAAGCTTCCACAGGGTTCTAGCAAGCCATCCGAAAGTTCTGGCAAGGTAGCCTAGGTACTCAGCAGGTCAGTAAAGACCGAAATGGGGGGGGGGCAGCCGAGGTGGAAATACAAGAACTTCGTATTCCGAAGAATGAAGGAGCATTTCGAAGAGGTCTTCCTGCCCAAGGCACACTCCAACGTACCCGACTCGGAACCTTTCTTGACGGAGAACAGTCTCACCGCGGAGGAAGTTCTGCATAAAATGTAGCCTGAAGAAAGGAAAGCCTCCTGGTGATGATAAAATCTGGGCAGCGGCACTGAAAGCAACGGGCATCGTTGAGTGCTCCTAACTGCAAAGGTCACACGAGATGAGCATTGGGAACGGGACCTGTGGTCTGACAATCCATTGAGGTGGTTCCTCATTTTAAGAGAGGCTCGAGGGAGGGAGTCAGCATCAAGGAGCGAGAAAAGAAAGCTCAGGCAATCGCTGAAGAAGTCATCCTTGAAAGCGCTTTCGATGCAGCTCCATGGATCTGTTCTTTGCTCCTCCAGATTCTCAGAAAATACCTATAGGGAGTATGCTAAAGGGGCTTAGTGGCTGCAACTGCGGGCTATTCAGTGTCCGAGTGAACGAGATGAGTTCGGAGTTTTTCACTGTAAGGGTTGGGCTGCGTCAGTATTTGCGTCCTGCTTCCTTTCCTGTTC